CATTGACTCTGAAATACCTCAAATTTTGGTTAGTGACTAAAATGTAAGTTTTGAACGTCTGGTGGCTAAAGTATAAACTTTGTAAAAGTTCAAGGACCAAAATTGTAATTTTAAAAAATTATATATTTTACCCCGTAAATAAACAGTTAGTCTTAAATCAAGAATTTTTGTGGGAATCATAATTTTGGTACGTTGTTTGTATTAAAAGCTATAAAACGATAAAATTCGGTATAGAAATCGGATAATCAGATTGAACCGGAATTTCACAAAAATTTGAAAGATGCTAGATAATAGTTGGAAATATTATTTCCATATTTTATATTAGTGAAACTTAGCATGGATCAGTGTAATTGAAGTTAATTTTTGAGATTTGGCCGAACAGTGAGAAATTTAGTGATTAAAATGCAATTTTCAAAAATGTATGGCTAAAGTAGGAAGTCAACTTCAAGTTGGTTCATCTTTGACTATGAGATATTTTATTGGAAGATATTTCAATGGAATTTGATAATTATCATGATTTATTAAGGGTGAAATTGAAATTTCTCGTTACTTGAATTTAAAATTTAATAATATTAAAAGGTGTCGAGTATTTTAAATGATAATTACCAAAGAAATTAGATGAAAAATCAGCCCCTTTTTTTCTTGCTGCTACCGTGAACTCCATAGCTTAAGAGGTGAGAATTTTCAAGTTAATTTTTAGGCTTATTCGATTGATTTTTGGGCTAAGCTATTAGATAGAGAATTAATCCTTTTGAAATGCTCTATTATTCAGTATAAATATTTCATGGAAAATATGCTTGAATGATGAATTACATCATTTGGGTGGATGAAGAACATGTTTGATTTTGAAGATTTGATGGAAGATTTTTATGTTATTAAAGTTGTTGAATAATTCTAAAGCATGAGAGATGATTAAAATCAAGTGTAGAAGCTTAAATCATGTTAGGCCATGGTTAGGGTTTATTGAGGTTGGTTGAATTTTGATTCAATTTGATGATATGATGATTGGAATAGCATGAATTTGATGTAAGGAAGTTGAATTCATGTTTGAAATTGACCAAAAAGTTTACCCTAGAGACTATGAAGCGTTCGGCCATAAAGGGAAAATTAGATGAAAATGTTGAAAAATTTCCTATGATCTAGAATTGATGTAAAATGTGTTCTATGTGATTTAGAGATTGATTTGGATTAATTTGGAACCTTGATACATAAAAGGGGTTATTTTACAAGTTTTGAGAATTTAGGGACATTGATGCATAAATGTGTAAATTTGAGTATTCAATGTTGAATTTTAATTGTAGAATGCTGGAATTTTGAGTTAAATAAGTGATATGGGATCAAAGTGCAAATTTGGATAAATTTGGTGATGGAATTTGAATAGTCTCAAAAGTTGGGACTTAATTGTGAGTTCTCAAATGTGATTGTATTATTTTGGTATGAAAGATCAATGCTGGAAATTTATATTAGTATGCTGTTTTTTAAGTTCAAATAATGAATTGGGATCAATTTGCAAGTTTATTAAAATAGGTGGTTGAATTCGAAAAGTCTAAGGAAATAGAGGATGAAATTTCAAGTTTTTGCATGTTAAAGTATTGATTTGAGTATATTATTAAAGTTCTAGAAATTTTAGTAATTAATGTGAAATGATCATAATGGTGAAGAATCATTATGAATTAAATGGAAAGGTTGATATGAATTCTAAGAAGAATTCATAATTAGTAACTTGAATGCAAAGTTGGTAAAAGTTAAAGGGTTAATGATGAAAATAAATATTTATGGACTTGAATGACTATTTTGGGAAGTTTGAAATTATGATGGAAATATGATTTAGTTTGATATTGATTTAGTATCGATTTTATTTTATAGAATTTTATAGTATTAAAGTTAGCTTATGTTAGTATAATAGTAACATATAGTTGAATATTTTGTGTTATTATTACGATGTTGTCAGATCAAGATAAACCTAGCGATCCTAGAGACCCGAAAGGAAAAGACAAAGCACGTGAGTAAAGAAATGTCTTATAAAGGCTCGGTAGTGAGGCAAAGGTGATTGCAATTTATTTATTTAATTATTCTAACTTATGAAGATTTGCGATAAGTCAACCTCATATTATTTTAAAGTGTGATTTCTAATTAATTAAAGATTATTTCCGTAATGATTATACAAAGTTTTATGAATGATTTAGGATATGAACTGCTCAAGTTTATGTGTTTATGATGATGAATTAAAAATGATTTCGATATTGAATTGTTGATTATTAAACGATTATAATATTATCTGAAAAGCCTATTGTATGTTGCATTGAGAGTCGTAGGTACACTTAGCATGTCATTGTGTTGAGTAATACTTATTCTGATTTAGTACATTCATGTACATATAGGCTGGCACATATGATTGCACTTGGAGTGCATATTCTGATTCTGATGATAGCATCGTGATGTGCTTAGCGCGCATATTCTGTCTGATTCACTAAACTTATATACTTTTAGCTATGAAAATGGAATATGAAAATATACTTATGTACCTTGCATTCTCTTAAATATATTTTTGGCTATGAAAATGGAATATGAAAGTTATGAAATGTGTCTAAATGGAATGAAATATGCATGGATTATTTTATCTGATAATGTTTATCATGATTTTAATAAAATCATTAGATGACATTGATTTTCAGGTTTTCTAATGAAGAAATTGGCTTGAATAGTCAGTTTAAGATTTAATGATTTTATTTGGGATCTTTTAAATATTTTATTATATTTATTCTATATTAAATTGTTTTATCTCACCTAGAGTTATTACTGTCTCACTAAACTTTACTTAGCGCATAATGATTTTCATGCGTATGTTTTGATAGAGAAAAGGACGTGCAATGAGGAGCCTCCTGAGTATCTTTTGGAAATCATACCTACTTCTTGTATCAGTAAGACTTCTCTGATGTAATTTTTTATTGTTAGTGGCATGCATATTTTTATATGTTAGTTTGCTTTATAGGATTTATTTTATATAGTTTGTAATAATAAACTAAAACTATTTTGTTTTCGTTGGCTTTAGTATATCTCGATCTTATGCGTAAATAATATATATATATATATATATATATATATATATATATATATATTTAAAATAGTTTTCAAATCAAGCAGTATTTAGGAAGTTTTAAATAGTTTATAGAACAACATTAAATTGCCTAATTGTTGTCCGAAATTGGGTTTGATTTAAATGATTAAATATTATTTATGATTTTACGCGAAAAATGAAATAATATTAAAGTTGAGAAATAAATGTTTTAAAATAAAATAAAAATTTAAGAATTTATGTTTAATGAATATTTGTAATATTCATGTAATATCTTTAACTCGTATTTCGAGATGTATACGTGTTATGGTGTTGCAGACTCGATTTTTCAACTTGATATATATATTTATATATAATAATGTGATGAATAGTCAAATAATACATGTTTTATTATCTTTTTGAATTATACTCCTAGTTAACCACTAATTTTCAGTTTTTGTAATAATTTAATTAAAATCAATATCAACTTTTGTTAATAGTTTAATTCGAACTGTGAAAATTATTTTGAATAATAAATTAATTTAAATAAAATTATAAAATTAATAAAAAATATTAGATTTATAATAGAAATAATAAAAAATTTACTTATATTACATAAAATGAATAATAATAATCAGAGGAATAATACTATAACAGTGAGATTGAAAACAATAACAAATAAAGTTTACTGGGTTACTTTCGTTACTTATAATAAAAATATAGATTTATTATGAAAATTGTAGGAAAATACTAAAACAAAAGAAATAATATATTAATTAATACTAGATTTATAATGAAAGTAATAGAAAATTTACTTATAACTTACAACTAAAGCGTAACAAATAAAGTTATATATGACTTTTTAAAATTTAATAAAAATATTGAATTTATAATTAAATATTTAATATTTGATTGAAATTTTTGATTGATAATAAATTTTTAATAATTTTTTTTTATTTTTTTTATAAAATATTTATCATTTTAAACTTTTCGCACAAAATTAATATAAAATTTTGATGACAAGTTGTAACATGCGTTATAGGATCGTATTTGTGTTAAATTATCATTTCAAAACGATGATTTAATTTAAAATATTGAACGATTGAGAATTATAATTAAACTGAAATAATAAGATTAACAAACAAGAAGACATATTTTTCTATAAGAATGTATCAATAATTTCATATATACTAAGTTAAACTCATAACCAACTCAACCCGAATTGACTTGATCCAAAGGTTGACCAATACCAAAAATCAACCGAACTGGTATTGACCAGATCATAAAATCAACCAATCCGATATTAACATAACCCGAAATCTAACCGATATGATATTGATCCGACCCAAAAATCAACCAATAAGATATTGATCCGAGCCGAAAAACAACCAATCTAATAACCACGCGACCCAAAAATTGACCCACCCGAAAATCGACCTGACCCAAATCAATTTACCATACACCCGAACTAAATCCAAATTAGATCCGACCCAAAACCGATCCAAATGATGCAAATGCCACCTCTAATATAATCTATATAATACTATAATCCAGTACAACAAGATTTAATGGAACACTTTGATATTGACCATGACTTCATCACGGTCCTGCTCTCTTTTGACAATTGCAAAGAGAAAAGATTAAGCAGATCAAATTCTAAGATGCTTAAAATTCGATAGCAGCTTTGGCATCTGATAAAAAAAAACTACTACCGATAATAAAACCTTCAAATCTCCAGTTTTTCATATCATGACATTTTTCATTTGACACATTGGTTCATCTGGCTTTTTAGGTAGCAGAGCAAGGAACTCAACATGATCAGATAGAAATTCTTGTTGAATCCTAAAAGCCCATGTCTGAACATAAACTCGTCCATTTGTTTAATCAAGTCTGAATCAAAGATCGATGAAATAAATATCCAGTGACGTGCAGATATTTTTTTTTATATCAATTTGTCATTGCTAATTATGTTGAACTGAGAAAGAAACATAAGAAAGTCATGCAGGGTCCTACCAACAGGAACCTTTGAAACTATAATTCATCATACAACTTGACACTATCTTCTCCAGATTAGTTTAGCTCCACAAAAAGGCTTGCCTGAGGATGTAATCCAGCCTCTTTCAAAGTCAACGAGAGCTTCTCCGTACCATATGTTACTCGAGGGAAGTTGGAGACGAGGTTGTAATCCTCAACTTCTAAGCATCCCAAAGAATCAACATAATCATAAAGGGATTGGATAAGTGCCGTACTTGGAAACCTCCTTTCTTTGCGCTCTCCATTTGGAAAGCGTACCAAAACCTGATTAATTTGGGTACAAACAAGCATTAAGTGTGGATATCAATAAAAGTCGGAAATGCAATCGATCATGGTTGTAATACAATGCCGTATTTGAATTGAGAATAATGGTAATTAAACCAGCTTAACCAGATCCAAGAAGTTAAGAGACAAAACCAAAGCAACATTACCTGTGTAACATTAAGTCCTTTCTCAGGTTCATCACCAAGTGACATAGCTTTCTCCTGCCGCATTCTATCTCGGGCAGCCTCCTTTTCAGCAGCTTCACGTGCTGCTCTTTCACGAGCCTCTTCTTCTTCCTTGCGTTTCCTCTCAGCTTCCGCGGCTTCCCTTTCCTGACGTTCTTGCTCCTCTCTCCTTTGGCGTTCCCTAGCCTAATATTGTAGAGGATTTAGACAGTCTCATATAACCAAACACTATTTTTAATAGCACAAATCCATTCAGGGAGCAAGTGATTATAGTTTTTCATTATATCCTCATCTCAAAATGAAGTAGACATTATTAAGTACAGTATTCTACTCCACCATGACCAAGCCAAAGATGAGTAAATAATTATTGAAGTTATTAATTTAACTATTTAAGACAAGATACCAGCTTACCTGGTCGGCTTCAAGAGCTGCTCTATAAGCGGCATCTTGCTCCTCCCTTAATCTCACGTTGTTTCTTCTCTCTTCAGCATCCAGTCTGGCAGCAACAAGAACAGGAGCACTTTCTTCAAGCAATCTCTGTAGTATTGTGAGCATTTCTTCAGGAGATTTAGGTCCCTCAACCTACAGTGGAGTAGATTCTAATATTAATAGGCAAGATTGCCATTTCCTATATTGGAATCCCGGGGTTCGCTACACGCCGATGTAAAAAGAAAAAGGACTGAAGTTTTAAGAAAGAGATCATTTCACGCACAATTGCAGTAAGAGTTAGATCAATGAAATGTAGGAGTATAGAAGTTAGTGAAGATGGGCTAAATCTGAATGCTTTAGACAGCCAAATATTAGAAACACCAGGGATTAAAAAGTGGTAGCATAGCTGTGACATGGCCTCTATTTTGTGGTACTGGGATGGATGTTAAAAAAAAAGTGTGAAAAACTTTCACACAATAGCAGTCACTATTCAGCCACAAAACTGGTATAGCAGAAAATGGTGGATGTAACCGGCCACTACTTATTCTACACTGAAACTTAAAAAACAATAAAAATTATTTGAAAACAGAAATTGTAGGCCACAGTACACATAGAGACGGTATATATTTTACATATATTCTTTTATATGCTCCTTCTCTAACAACTTAAATTCAAATATGAAGGTACAATTCTTTATAGGACAGATGCTAAGCATATAGTATATGATATATAGGGTACAATGTTATACTGCTCTGACACCATATTTAAGCATACATATAACATAATGTACACAACTGTAATGCTATAAGTCATCTCTAATCATGCATATAGCATGACGTACAAAGCTGTAATGCTATAGTCATCTCTAAGCATGCATCACTGTCAACTATATGTTACTTATCAGCAGCTGTGTCAAAATTCTTGAATCCAAATTTAATATTTTGGTGAAATTCAACGTGACAATGATAACGAAACTGTATAAAACTGATTTCTGAAAGTTAACATAAACAAACAGCTAGACCCATTAAAGAACGTGTAGTAAAGACAAGTTGCAGTAAAGCAACATAAAGTCGAAAATATTGAGAAGCGCCTGTGCTATTAAATTTTCTAGTGAATTAACTAAAAGATAAACAGGCAGAGTCTGGAATGAATTAGCAGAATCTAGGATTAAGCTGCATCACACTGTAAAGAAACTGGAAAGCTGATGGTCAATTGTACACACTATACAAGTTTCAAATGCCTTGTAACAAAATTTGAGGAACTGTTATTTAGCATATGGAAAACCAGGTAAGTGTTACTTTAGTCAATCATTAAAAGGTTAGCAATTCAACACTTTTTCTTTAACAATGAATTCATATACTTTGTTATCGGCCATGTAAACTCTAGTTACTCTCAATTGAACCTATAATCCAGATTATGTATCAAGGCATAAAACAAAAGCAGAAATTAATCTAAACTCTGTGCTCAGCAGAAACACAATGACAAAACAACTAAAAGAAAGAAATCCCTGACTTCCATCCATTTATCCAGAATAGAAGTGATTAACTGAACTCATAAATGTACTTAAAACCTATATGAGAGTATGAACAATATGTTTCAGTTTCTGAGTTTTGCAAAAGGATAATTAAACCAATAATTTCATTCAAAGTAGAAGTGAGAATCACGATGCCCATACCTGTTGAAGAAGGGCGATCCTCTGATTCGTAGCGGGCATAAAAACAGCACAAAATGGGAACCTGGATGCTTTCAAACTATTACTCATCTTAAAACCTTCACTAGACCTAATGCTCCCGCCCCACGCCACAAAATTCTCATTCACAAAGGCCGCCAAAGTCTCGGAACACAGCGTCCTTCGGCAGAAATCAGGCGAATCCGGGTGGTCCGGCGAGTGCAAGTACACAAACAACAGTTTAAACGCGCTCCTCGACCTCTGTAAAGCGTCCATAAAACCCTCGCCGACAAAATTCGGCCCCCTCGTCCCGTACTCCCTCTCAAACGCCGCCAGGAAGTCCATCGCTTCAGAAGCCGCGGACGAGACGGAGACCAACCTCGCCGATGATTCTCCGCCCTGCCCAGAACTTAGCCCGATCATCCCAAGGGAATACGAAAGAACTCCGCCCGCGACCCATAGACCGAGTCCAACAGCGCCAGAGATCAACCCTAGACTTCCGGATATCACGGAAATGGGTAACGTAATGAGTTTCCATGCTAAACCTGGTTGGGGAGCGATAACAACACCGGAGGCGGAGCCGAATTCGGTCCGGGTCCGTGAATCGCGAGGGTGAGAGTCGGAGGTTGTGGTGGAAGCGGAGGGTTGGGTGGAAGAGGTGAAGGAAGAGATGGCGAGTTCAAGGTCCCAACCATGGGCCTGCAGGATTTCCGTACACAAATCGGGATCTTCGAGCCCCGTGATTGCTTGAAAACATGCTAATTTATCAGCTACATCAACCATTTCTCAATAATTCACCCAAAAACACACAGATGAAGACAAGTGAAATTCCTCTCTATTTTCTTTTTTTCTCCTAATTTCTAGCGCACTGGAATGTTCTAATATAATGTCCCGGTTTTGCCTACCAGAATTGGGCGCCACAGTGTTGCGGATTTACAAAACTACCACTTTCCTTGCAATCTATATTCTTCTTTTCTTTTCTTCTTTTCCCACTCCTCCAGATCTTCAGGGTTATAACTGTCACTTAACGGTGCTTTGTGAGGCTAGCAAACGATGCCGTATTAGGTTTGAACTTTGATTGCCAAGAAGATGGAACATTTGCGAAAGAAATTCTAAATGACATTGGATTGGTTCAGTTCTATGTACTGAGCATTCTTATGAGCCTTTTTACTCCCGTTTTAATGATATTTAAAAATGTAGAGATTATTATTTTTGATTTAATTAAGATAATTATAAAATAGTATTTATTTTAAATACATATAGATATTACTTTTAATTTAAGTGAATTTCGAATTACTGATATAATACAAAGGTCTACAAACGTGTTTTAATATAAACACAATTCTATGTACTTATGTTTTTTAGGCCTATAATTTCGCCAATATCATTTTAGAGATTAATTTCTAGTCATTGCGATATTGAAAAATATCAGTTCCATGTACTTATGTTTTTAGGCCTATAATTTGTTAGCCTGTGCATTTTGATACTATTTATGCATTCATTGATAGTTTTGGACCATATATCATTATTGTATGCTATAAAGTGATTTAATATACTTATATTTTATATTTCTACGTGGAGAAAATATTTTTATTCCCTCATATTTTATATTGTATATATATATAAACCAAGGCAAAAAAAAATTATGAGAGAAACTAATAGAACCGTCTCTAAATTCTAAATTGTTGGAATGTGTTTTCAAATATTGTTCAAACAAAAGAATATAATTTTTTTACTTGAATTTAAAAAAAACTAAAAATTTGTATTTTGACATGTAATCAGTAATAAATTTTAGAAGAGTAAACTACAATGGTCACTTATGTTTTAGTAAAATTTTCTTTTTTTCACTGATACTTCAAAACTAACAATTTGGTTACTAACATTATTAATTTATAACAAATCACTCATTCAACTTTAACAATTGTTACTCTTAGTCAAGGGAAGTTGATGTGGCTTGTTAACCGTTGATTTCGTAACCAAGAGAGAATAAGAGTGAGAGAATAACAACTAAACCTAAGAATGGGATTCTCATGGATTATCGGCCAAAATCGTCCATAAATATTTCCAAGATGTCATCCACCATATCTGAAAAAATGGCTAACATACACCTTTGAAATGTTATCGTGTCATTACAAAGTCCGAACGACATCCTTCTGAAGGCATAGGTTTCGTAAGGGCATGTGAAGGTGGTCTTCTAGTGCAATGGCAATCTGATTATACCCTGAGTATCCATCGAGGAAGCAATAAAAGGATTTGATTGTCAGTTGATCTAGCATCTGATTGATGAAGGAAAGGGGAAATGGTCCTTTTTAGTTGTCTTGTTTAGCTTTCGGTTCCATGCAAATCTTTCAACCCGTGACAATCCTCGTCGATAATAGCTCACTCTCTTTATTGCTCACCACAGTCATGCCTCCTTTCTTATGCACGCATTGCACCGGGCTGACCCATGAACTATTAAAGATAGAGTAAATCACACTAGCATCGAGCCACTTGATAATCTCCTCCATCACTACTTTCTTCATTACAAGATTGAGTCTCCTTTGGGGTTTCATAGAATTGATGTGGCAATCATCTAATTGGATCTTGTGCATGCAAATTGTAGGGCTTATTCTCTTTAAGTCCTCCATTGTCCAACCTAAAGCTTTCTTATGATGTGACAAGACATTTATCAAAATGCACTCTTGCTCAGGGGTTAGATTAGCAGATATAATAACAGGCAAAGTATCATCACTACCTAGATAAGTATACTTCAAATGTGATGGAAAATGTTTAAGTTCTAAGGTAGGTACATACTGTAGCGAAAGTTTCAGGCGAACAAATTCATCAAAGTCAAGAGGTTCGAATCGCGTATCTGGTCTAGCTAGAAGTAAGTTAGATTGATGTACCTCTGATGAAAATTCCTCAGACTCCGCAATTGCTTTATTTTCATTTAGTCTCTCATAGTCCTCCAACTGTAAAAAAGTTACTACAACAGAAATTTGCATCCTCGTCCTCTATTTTTGAGTCCACATCCAACACACATTGACATTTTTCTGATTCATCCACATATTTCAGTTTGTTGAAGATGTTGATCGTGACACTCTGGTCAGCCACCCTCATTGTGAACTCTCCCTTCTCGTAATTATTGAGAATACGACCAATAGCTAGAAAATGACGCCCCAGAATGATGGGCACATTGTCGTCGACCTCATAGTCTAGAATAATAAAATCATCAGAAAATACAAACTTGTCAACCTTCATTTTAACATCTTCAATTCTGCCTCGGGACAGACATGCGATCGATTAGCTAGTTGTAGGATTATAGTGGTAAGTCAAACATTACCCATTCGAAGCTTTAAGAACACGAACTTAGGCATCAAATTTTACACTTGACTTAAGGTCACACAGGGCTCTCCCCACATATTTATCATTGATAAAATATGGAATAACAAAGATGCCAAGATCTTTTCGCTTCAGTGAAAGTTTACTCAACGTAAAACAATATTCTTTTGACTGTGGCGACAATTTCAAACTTCTCAATCTTCCTCTTCTTTGTAATGATTTCCTTGAGAAATTTAGCATAGGTCGGCATATGATCATGGCCTCTAAACGTAGGACATTGATGTAAAGCTGGTCAAGGATATCAACAAACTTCTTGAACTGGATTTTATCATTATGCTTCTTTAGTCTTTGAGGGGAAGGGTTGTGGGGGTCTGACTTTTTCCACTGCATTTGGGGGAACAACTTTTGCTGTGACATTTTTTTGTCCTCTATCAGTAGAGTGAGTGATTGAACCTTCATCCTTGTCCTTCTCCACATGTAATTCTTTTTTCACTTCAGGTTCTTGTTACTCTTCAGATTTTTCTTGCACAATGTTATAGCGAGAATTTTCTTGTTTCTTCCCCCAAACTTGTCTTTTTAATTAATTTGGATACCACTCCTCAGTGTAGTGATTTTCCCCACTTAGTTCTCCAAAGCTCTTAGTGTAATATCCCAAAATCAAGGTTAGTGACTAAAATGGAATTTTTGAAACTTTGAGGTATGAATTCAAAAAAATTGTAAAGTTCAAGGACTTATTAGGAAATATTTTGAGGGATTATTGGTAATTATTAAATAAAATAAAGGGTAAAATGATGGAGCCATATTCTTCTCTTCCCGTGTTTTCATGTATAAGGTGTGTTGGATTTAAATTGCTTGTTTCTTCAATCTTATGGTTTCTTTTGATTCTTGAGTGATAATAAAGAGTAAGAGAAGATTTAAGGTGATTTAAAACTTCAAAAATGAACAAGTTATGAGAGAATAAGTAAAAGGAGTTTTTAAGTGGGTTATTAAAATAGAAGGAGTTAATATATTTTGAAGTTGAATTTGACTTGTCAAGGGTCTAATTAAGAAGTTAGAAGAAATAGAATTGAATTTGGAACATGTTGAAAATTGAGTTTAATTCTTGAATTTCATATGGATGATAGGATTTTGAGGTTTAAGAAGAGGTAAATGAGTATTAATGAGTTTAAGCATGTGTATGTAAGTTAGGAATATGTAAAGGGATGAAATATGAAATAATTGCATTGAATTGAGTGAATTTTCGGGTGAAAAAGTCTGTTCTGGGCAAGGTGTATCGGTACCCTATGAACAGGTACCGATACACTAAGACTAATTTTAAAGAACATCTTCATAGTGTATCGATACATTAAGGAGTGTATCGATACCCCCTTGAACCGAGAAATTTCAAATGTAATTTGTGTACCAATACATAAGTAGTGTATCAATACACTAGTGAAGGGATGTATCGATGCCTTATAGTGTGTACTGATACACTTCAAAGGGAAAATGGAAATAGATCTTTATTTTAGTTTAAGAAATGAAATTAGTATTCCAAATGGAATTCTAATATGTATATTATACGTATGATTGCATATATATCAATCGAGAGCAATGTCCGAACAAGGTGTCAAGTAATAGTCATCAAGGAAAAGATAAGGAATTGGTATTGACTAATGAGGCCATGTGAGTGCATCTTATTTAGTATATGATGTTTAATGGGAAATAAAACTTGCGACAAGTCTATTTCTAATAGAAAAATGCATGCATTCCTAGATAGAAGTATGTGTTGTTATGATTTATATGTGTGCATGAGTATATGTGATGATATGTTGCTATGTAAGTTATATGATTTGTATAAACACATGTTAGTGTGATAAGTCATATGAACAATACAAATGATCTATGTGTAAGTGAATTACGTAACCATGTAATTATAAAGTTTGTGAATATAAATATATATAAGATAAGCCACGCGATTATGAGCTAGGTGAAATTAAGTGATGAGAATGATATAACAAAAAGTTATAAGAGTATATGTTTATGAGAAGGGTATAGGTATTATATGATTTAAGCAAGGAAATTGACATAAGATATAATTAGGTTAAATTATTATGTGATATGAGTATATGACATTATGAACATATGAGAAAAGATATAAGAGATATATGTGTTATGTGTTATATGTGGTATATATGATATACGGGAAATATATGTGAACAAGAGATGACAATGATATACATGTTATATGAACACATGAGAAGTATTAAAAGTTACGTGACATAAGGATTGAAATCATATGAACAGTGATATGTACATGTGAATATATGGAATGATAAAAGATAAGTTAAGTGATAAGATATATGTGACAAGTAGTATGAATTGACTTGGAAAGTTGAAATAAGGTATGTGATATGATATGAAATAGATGTTTACACATACATGTGGTATGTGACAAAAGAAAAGGAACATATGATTATAAGAGATTATAGAAATACATTAATATATGCAACATAACAATAGTGCCCATGATATGTGACATGAGAGCTATATGT